AGGAGGAGGAGATTGAGGGTGGAGGAGGAGGGCGGGGGAGGAGGAAGAGGAAGAGGAGGAAGAGGAGGAGGAGGGGGAGAAGGAGGAGAAGGAGGAAGGGGGGAGAACAGGATTGATTTGATTGGAAACCTAAGTAATTCTCCCCTGTCTTCTCCAGAATTCAAGAGCCTGTACAACCAGTAAGAGCTCACAGTGGAACCAACTGAACAACCAAGTCAATATTGTTGTGAACGTTGTTGTTGTTGTTGTTGTTGTTTGACACATACACCCAGATTCCGGCCTCGACAATATGGCTGCAGGGGCAACTACGTCACTTCAGCGGTGTAACAGACATTCAGCCCAAAATAGGTTCTAGAAAATTGATTAAGCGAGGTTCATATTATCATGTACTGTTACCGCCCCCGCCCCCCCCCTTCCCAACCTCCTTCCCTGTTTTTCCTCACCTCAAAATTAATAGACTTTGAAAATTGGTTGGTTTGTCTTTCCCTTTATTAATACAATCTCTTTCTCACTTTCTTCCACCTTCTCTCTCACTCTCCTTTTATCACTCTATCCCCATTTCTCTCTCGCTTAGTCTGTTTGAACCAATTTGATTCCATCTTTCAATATTTTCTCCTTCCCCCCCCCTCTACCACCCTCCCCCTTCTCTCACTCTCTCATTCTTTCCTTCTTCTTTCACCTCTTATTCCATCAAGTTCCTCTTCTTCTTAGTCTTATACAACCATTATTGTCAGCTTTTTCAACTCTTCTTCAGCCCCACACGCAATATTGGGATTCCCATTGAAGTACAAGAACCACTAGCTACTCTTCCTCTACTTTTCCAACGTTTCATCATATTATATGTTCTCAATGTGTATTGAAAAACGGTCCTAATCGATAGTATAGCTTGGGGGGGGGGGGATATTGCCTTTCATACAATTAATTAAATCGTGGGGTGTCAAAATTAGACTTTAATATCTACGCACATAGTACACAGCACTTAACATTTTTTTAAAAAGAAAAAGACATAATTTGGAATTTTTAGAACAAGAGTATCAATAGAAATGATTGTTGTAGGGCAGTATTTTTATTATACTCTTTGCAATGCTTTGAATTAATGGCAAACCTGATAGAGACGAGATTAGAATAATTTAGACAGCCTCAAGAGTAATCTTTCTAATCTTGTGTGTTTAGTGTTAGGGGCTTATTTTCTTTTTCTTTTCTTTTTTAGTAGGTCAAAGGAAGCGAGATAATAAGGATGATACGAACGAAGCCGCAAACCACATAGCACCTGCAAACCATCCACTTTTTGTGTACAATAAATAGTGCAATAAAGTAGACTCATTGGAGGTGAGGGGAAGTGGAAGAGGTGGGGACAGGAGGGGTTGTTAGTTTGGGGTAGCTGGTAGGCAGAGAAACAAAAAACAGAAGGTACACAAAAAATAAAGGACATGGGGACAGCGAGGATTGCAAAAAAGAGAAGAAAAAAAAATGCATGTCACACAAACAATCAAGAACTTCCCAAATGGCCAACAAAACTGGGAAGGGTTGGGCTTGGTTGCAAGTAGCAGACATATCTCCAAGAAAATAAAGACTGATTGACGTATTTTAGTTTCTGGTTTCTACTTCTTTAGTTTTAGTAAGTGTTTTGCGGCACTCGCAACACAATAAGGTCATATAAGTGCCGAAGATTAGAGGCGTTACAAGAGAGTAACAAACACAAAAAAGAAGGAGGGGAGATAAAGACGATAGATGTTTGATAGGAAAGAAGGAGCATACCACACCAGAGCACCCGCCAACCACCCACTTTCTACTTCTACGATACGTTTTCTGAGTGTGACCCCACTAAAGTATCCCTATTAAACGCATTTTGAAAAGATAGGTACACCCATTCTATTACTATTTTCTGAGACTAGCTGTAGACTGTATTAATTCAATCTGTCTCAAAGAAGTAATGAAGGTGAGCATGAAGCCACTGCAGTAACAAAATATGAGCACGAAAAAAAAATCCATGGTACCGTACCAGGTTTCTGGGTCGATTTTTTCGGTCTATTCTCATGTCTCAAGGCTATCTAAAAGAGTTCTACATTTGTAGAAAATTTTTAGAAAAGAAACAAATTGACGCCACACAGAAACCCCCAAAACAACAACAATATCAACCCCCCCCCCCCCAAAAAAAAAAAAAAGTTTTCTAAAGAAACTAAAAACACAAACAGACAGGAAAATCGGTTATTTGATTTGTTTGTTTATTTGTTGTTGTTGTTGTTTTGTTTTTTTTAAACAAAAGTCTACTCAAACAAAAATTCATAGAGAACAAAATAACATGATTAAATGTGACAAATAGATTGCTGTTCAGAAATGAAAATATTTACCACTGTATTTCTTAGTTTCCAGAACACTGGCTTTACAAGGTGAAAATAAAAGTTAGATTTCATCCCGTATTGTGCTTTGTTTTGTATGAATTTTTTTTCTTTTTTTTCTTTGTAAACAATATCAATAACAAATAAAATGATAGTAACTGAAAGATTGGTCACTCGTGTTTAAAAAACCCCGAAACAAAACAATTAAAAAAAAAGAAAACAACCCCCCCCCGAAATGTACATGATGTATTTATTGCGTAATAGCCATTATATGAAGGGGAAGCAAGGCTGTACTCATTGCCCTTATCTCTATGTGGAGTAAATTTTATTTGACGATTACATCCCATTATTTCTCATTTTATTAGAATGTTATCTCCCTCCTGGCCCCCCCCCCCCTCCAATAAAAAAATGGTTTTATCGTTTATCTGTAGATTCATAAAATTGTGGATATTTTACGTCCCAATCGACATAATTTACACCATTAAGAAGGTAAGCTGCTTCTGCCCTGCCTGTCAGAGCCAAAACGGGCTAAGAGGTATACAATGTTCGAACAGACTAAAGGAGATGGCCGTGCAAAGGAGATACAATGTAATAGATTTTTTTAAACCCCAGAAAACAACAACCACCCCCCACCCAAAAAAAAAGAAAAGGAAAAAAAAGAAAGAAAAAAGAGACCCCCTCCCAATATGAGAATCAATCATGTGTCTATTGTGTGCGATGGCAAAGAGCCTAACTTAACTGCAACAGCACCAGCAGATGCCAGTTTATAATTGTTATCTACACAGTAAGCCTCGGTCGTAGGTTCTACAGACACTTACAAGTATGACATCTTAATATTACAGAAAGTGGGACTGTGGATCATCACCTGTTCCACTGCATAAGCCAAGCCTTAAATGACATCAGAGTTACGTTTCTCCCTCAGAGACCAAGCATTGACAACACACGCTATGAAACACCACAACAACTTCAAAACCTGCTCCTATCACAACATGGCATTGGACAAAAAGGCAAGAGTCCAGCTGTTGATGGATCGACAACAACAATAACAAATATAGGAAAAGAAGTGATGTTCCATTAGCACTGATTTAAAACGATCCAAAATTAGGTAATTTTTCTTAATGTAGGTGTCTTATTACTCTTATGCCCAATCGAACCTGGGCTAAGACTAAGAGGGATACATCCTGAAGACAGACCTGACGCAGATACTCGATAAAACAACTCCCTCACATGGAATATGGTGGTAGTTAGTTAGAGTTACAGCAGGTTCGACTGTACTATCTTTCTTTTGTTATTAATCGTTTCACGTTCCCATCTAAGACAAAGACTGTTTTAGTTTTATTAGAGGTTTTTCGGCGCTCGCAATCGCATAAGGTCATATGAGCGCCAAGGGGTGGATATCAACAGAGAAGTCCTTACAGGAGATCAATATGCTCACCTCTCTAGCTTCAACAGCACAAAGTCAGCTTCAACTATCAAGGTGCCCCGGAAATAGCGGGTCACAAGAGTGTGACAAACATACAAAAGAAGTAGAGGAAATGACGATACTAAGGATTAGGAAAGAAAAGGCAGCAGTTCCCTGTTGTAGTTCAGGCACAGTTATGAGCATGACATTGTTGGATCAGCCCATTTACAATTCTACTGTGCATCAGAATGAGAAATGTCCCCCCTTTGGGAACGGCCTAAAGAAACTTCAGTCAGTGGCCCTACCCCGAGATGTGGACAAAGACAATTTCGTCCGTACATGTTTAGCTGCGTGAGAGTATGGTACGTGTACAACAACATCTTGGCAACCACACGAAGGTTCTGTACTCAATTAAAAACTTCCTGAATCCATAATCCAACAGACATCTTGTGAGTGTAACAATGAGCAGCCTGACCATAACAATTGTGGCCTGGGTTCTCTGGGGTAGTGAGCTTTGTCTGACTGCATAGTATAAAGGAAGTTTTTTCTTTCTAATTTTTAAACATGAACTCTTGTAGTTCCATAAGATATGATAAGATAAGATAAGACAAGAAAAGATAAGATAAGATAAAACAAGATAATAAAAGGGAAGTTAAGATAAAATATTGCTCCTGTGGGAAGTTTTCTGTGGCTGTACAGGAAGGGTTAAAACACATGTAGATACATACAGAGAATTTGATTTGTCGATTATTCATTTCATGAAGAATTTTAGTATAAGGAGAAACATAAAGTTGACAAAAATAAATGTCTCACACATCTATCACAGATTTTGAAAGTATACATAATATATTTGTATAATATATCATCTATTGTGTGCATAGATAAAATATCAAGAACAATACACATAAATTTTAATGTTCATTTCATGGGCAGCCTTATCACAGATCGTAGCAAACTTCTCTTGCATCTTTCATTACTGGTTCTTGCTGATGTGTATCTGGAATTGCATAATAATATTAAAATTTGTGTGGACAAGGGGTCTGATGGGTTGTTTAAATTTTAGATCTGACAAGAGTTATCAGAAACGAAAAAGTAATGGTGGAGGTGATGTTTTGAGTCACCGTCCCACTCATGGTAAAACAAAAATTTGAGAAGATTTAAGGCTTTTTCAACTTTCCGGCACTGCACACAAAGGTCTTCAATGTGTAGGATACCAGGTACAATAATTTTTTTTGGTGTGTAAAAAATTACATCAAAGAATCAAGCCTAGTCCTTTACGGACATACTTGCCGGCATATAATGATAAATCCTGTGGAATTTACATCTACCATATTTTTAGAAGTGCACAACATGTATACAACCATCTTTGACTTTGACGAAGAAAGCTTGAAACCATTCTTCTTATTTATCCACTTTTCAAGTTTGAACAGCTGCAGCAGCTGTCTCTTCGTAGATCTTGTTTGAGGACTTCTGGATCAGCAGTATATCAAAAAGTCGTCAACGTATAATGAGCTAACATACTCTGAGGTCCTTATGAGCAATAATCTTACTGATAGTGGAGATATTAAATAAACTAGTAAAAGTACTATCACAAATTGAAGTTAAAATTTGAGTGCCACCTTTAAAATGACGAGTACAATGATAAAACGAAAAATCTCAAAAGTAAACAACCTAAACTAAAAATGAGTGAACTTCACGATACAACTTTTGTAAGATGCAAAAATAATCAAAACCAAAAAACGTTGGAGAGACGTGTTGCTTTATTGTCCTTTGGGAATAAAGTTGAGTATAAAATTTAACGGTAACGGAAAAGAAAAACAAATTCATCAGTACTAAAGATAAGTAGCTCTATGTACATGGACGGACTGAAAAAATAAGGCCACAATTAGAAAGAAATATCAATTTGCATTCACTTCATAGGGACGGACTAAATGTAAAATACTGTCAGCTCAAAAACAAAATAGTATTCCCAGACATACCAGTGGTACACAGACAGAATAAAGGTAAGTTCATATGATTAAAATTCATATCAAAAAAAAATGACACTTCAAATTAAGCAGCCGTAAGCATATTTTTTTTAAAACGGAAAAGCAATGGCCAGAGGTTTATAATCAAAAGCAGGCATGATCTTGTTAATTGAAAGATCCATATATAGCACAATGACAGGGAGTACATCAAAGATGCTTCACTTGCTGGTGATGGTCAAGTCCCAGCCACATTACCTAATGCCGCTGACTTCAACGAACAGACTCTAATCCCCAATACTATGTTAGGTAAACATAATACAACATTAGTTCTTAACTGCAGAGCTTCGTAAATGGATGCCTACGAAGGAAAGTGGGGATCAAGTGGTACGATCGAGTCACGAATGCTCAACTGTGGGAGAGAACAAGCCAAAGGCCAGTAAAGGAAGATATTCAGGTGAAGAAATGGAAATGGATTGGACACACCCTGAGGAGACCCCGGACAAGCATCATCAGGCAGGCCTTAACATGGAACCCACAAGGAAAGCGTAAGAAGGGAAGACCTAAGATGACATGGAGGCGAGCGGTATCAGCGGAAATTGAAAAAGCGGGGACATCATGGAAACAGATAGAAAAGGATGCTCAGGACAGGCTTCGCTGGAGTAATGTTGTTGATGGCCTGTGCTCCACTGGGAGTTAAAAAGGGCAAGAGAGAGTTCTTAACTGCAGTCAGGAAATCCAGCGGAATAACAATTATTAAATGATCACATGGTGAGGAAGGTGTATATCATTATTATGACAGTTGGATTTCTTAATGTGCTTATGTAAGAGACGCAAGATTTGGCTTATTATCGCATACAAACATTTATATCTAAAAATGATTAAAAAAATAAAAAGACACATTTTTAAAAATTGTTACTGGAAACTCACAGTCACAAACTGAACTTTCATACATACTTAATATTTAATAGCTTCAAATGGATTACTGTTGAATAAAGTATGTCCGAACATATACAGCTTAACTTTCACTTGAACAGAATAAAACCAGAACTTCCCCCAATGTGTTCTTTGTGTGCCTATGTATATGAGACAGTCAGTGGAACATCACCTTTTTCACTCCACAGCCCTAAATGACATCAGAGCTACACTTCTCCCTCAGAGACCTAACATTGACAACACACTCTACGGAACATTACAGCAACTGCAAAAAACCTGCACTTATCACTAGATGGCATTGGACAGAAGGGCGAGAGCACAGCTGTTGCTGGATCGATAAAAACAACAACAACAACAACAACATTAAAGTATGTAACCCGATTACAGAATGTCAAAGCATGAGTACATTGTATTTAAAATGGGAAGAGTATTCTTTGCATTTTTCCAGACGAATTGATGTAATTCGGTTTATATATAATATGTATGTGTGTGAGTACTTCTCATGAAAACTAAACATGCTGTATGACACAGTATGTAAAACTCATGGTTACTTAATCCTTCTTCTTGAATAGTTCATTTCGGTTGATATCTTGAAATTGTACCCTGACTGCGAAGAGCATCTACGGGTGGGACTGTGGACCTGACACAACAGGCTGTCATCTATCATCCGCCTGGCTGGGTCAGAGAGGTCAGACTGGTCACAACTAGGTATAATAAGTAAAATCTTTAAAAATATATAGCAATGCTAACAGTAATTTTCGTTACTACAAAGCCCCCCAAACAAACTGAATTTTCTTCCAAGAACATTTAACATTTTTTTATCCTCACGTTAGAAAAAATAAAACCCAAACAATTTCCTCATAAATTACGCTTCAGAAACAAGTATGTGTCTTTCCAAACTTGTTCAGCTTCTGCAAAGCTAAGAAAAGAATTTATGAGCTGCGGAGCTAAAAAGCCATGCCCTTGTTTCATGACATAGACAACATCACACTTCACATTCGCTTCTTGCAGCCGCACTGCGTAAAACAGTCCATCATCCCGCAAAACATCAAACTCTCCAACAACAATAAAGGCGCGCGCTACTTTAGACAAATCCTCTGCCACCAAGGGCGCCAGAAAAGGATTAGAGACTAAAGCCTCAACTTTGGCAGCAACCTCTCTGTCAAAGTCACCAGATGACGGTGTTTCTGTTCGTTCCACGTAATTGTCCTTGGTATAATCTGGGAGCTTGCTTTCTTGTAGGTATAGTGAGTGCAACAGTCGTATCGGAGACGAAATGTGCTTTTTCTCAATACAGGTCGTCATCAAATCTCCCTGGGGCTTCAGGCCGAGGTAAAGGAGCCAGGAGTGCAGCATGAGATCTCTGTGGTATGGAACAAATTTGACATCTGAAGCACATGATCGACTTTGTTTAGTATCACATTGTGCTAAATAGTAGCAGATACTCATTTGAATTCATCACGTTCTTTTATAGAACTTAGGGTTGTATAAGAAGATATTAATGGTTTGATACCCACTCGGTTTGGTATTATTTAAATGAATTTTATTGAAAGAGATCTTAAATTCATAATATAATACTTTGAGACTTGAATACTTGTAGCAAGCTATAAACATAGCACCACTGTCTGTGAAGTAATGATAAGGCTCTTTACAATTGCAGGCACAAGACGGGAGTTTCATTTCCATTCAGGAAAGTCGTAATAGAGTGGCTCTGTTTGCTAGTATCTTGTATCCCACTGGCCTCCATAGGCAAGGGAAATACAACCCACCTAAAAATTGATCTGAATTATGCCGACGGGGGCCTAAAACACTAACCACAAAAAAACAACAACAAATAAATAAATATTGCAATAAAATTCTCTTTTAGGAAACTTCATTGGATACTAATTCCACATCAGGATCAGGGATACAGGTCAAACAACAACGTTTAAATGTTTTCTATTTTTGTAAGAGATTTTCTAGGCATTATAAGGTCTTTTTCAAAGCTGGCCCCAATACTGAAGATTCTGAAGTCTAAATTTCATCTCACGCCTGCGACAGTGAAGCGTCTGATTGCTTAACCACAGCTCAGCTGTTAACACACCTTGTGAGAATTCTGTTACAGTTACATTAAGAGTCTCATGGCATTAGCCACACAAATACGCCATATAAGTGCCGAAGATTAGTGGTGTTACTTTTGAGTAACATACAAGACATACAGGGAAAAGAAGGAGGAGAGATACGGATGCTAGAAACAGATGTCTGATAGGAAAGAAGGAGCAAACCAACTCCAGAGCATCCACCAATCACCCACCTTGTGAGGATTGAGTTGTAAGCATTCTGCCGGTATGATGGTGTGTCAAACACAGAAGCCTGTAGTGCTGGCTGGAGAAGAATCTGGAGCTTGAGGGCTGGGGTGTGCCTGGGGTCTTCTTCTGATAGTCGGAGGGCAACGGCCGCCGCAAGATTCCCACCACTACCATCACCTACACAGGAAGATAAATCCTACGGCTTGAGACATTCAAAATAACAGAGATACAAACTGGGACATATGCATGGCCACAGAGTTATTAAAAACAAACAAACAGTAGGGGTAAAAATAGAAGCAGGATTTACCTGAAATACCCTTCAATCAACCAACCATACAAAAAAGTTAACTCTATTAAAAAGACAATAACAAACAAACTTATAGAATGAGTGGCATGTCCTTATACGGGGTGCCCACTACGGCTGGGATTGGCCGATCGGGCCGATCGCCTGACTCGATTGCCTCAAAAACAAACGTGTTTGTTTTCAGTTTCAGGCGATCGATTCGGGCGATCGGCCCGATCCAGCCGTAGTGGGCACCCCGTATTAGAGATAGAGATATTGTTTTATTTGCATGGTCTAGTAATGGTCAAAGTATTCTAACAAGTTCTCAAGAGTTTGACTTCGGCACATGACAAAGAACTTGTCTGGAAAGTAACTCTCTTGTTGATTAAACATGAAAATTTGGAGATGGTTGGGGAATATTGGGGATATCGGAAGTAAGCATTTCTCTCAAGGCTTATAGATGATATTCTACTCACCCCCCACAGCCACTCTGCTAGGGTTCACACCAACTGAATCTGGGTGGTGCAAAACATGTCGGGTAGCCTTGACACAGTCGTCAAATGGAACAGGGAAAGGGTGCTCAGGGGATCTGCGATATCTGAAAATAAAAATGTGTCATGATGCGGTGGAATCAGGCCCTCGTCAATTTTTGGGTATATGGAGTTATTTGTATCATCTTAAAGGTTGTTCATTTGCCTTGCATTTGATGGAAAAAAAATCCATTTAACATGAACAGACTTCGAGATATTTGCGACTGAAGGAGGTGGTGTTGTCTGGTTTCAGAAGTAAAATTAGCGAGAAAATGGTTACCAAAGTTTGGTGACTTTCATAGCTCAAGAGTTCTTGGAAGCTGCAAATTTACATTTTTCGTGCCTTTAAACAACGTTTTTCCATAAAATCTACACGTAAGAATGTTTTTGAATGGATATATTCAAGGTGGTGAGACAAAAAAGAAAAATTCGAAAAAAATTTCCAAACTGGCCGAAAAATACTGATTTCTTACATTTCATTATTTTGACGAGCACCTGATTTCACCACAATGCCTCACAAATGAATGAACCTGAGCCCTGGGGCCTTTTCAGAATAGCGTGAACTATTTAGATGCAAGGGAAGAAAATATGAACATTTTGGGGTCCAAATAATATTGGTGTTTGCTATCTACTCCGCTATTTACGGGCCTTGGTCCTAAAAGCAGTTGTCATGTTGTGACATTCACAGGTCTATCGCTGACATTCTGTATATCACTTAAATACTTTTTTGACATCTGATGAGAAAACAATCCCAAAATCATACTTCTACAGGATAGAAAATGATGAAAGTCAATCCAAATTAACTATGACAGCAAGTGAGAAATTCATTCTCAAAATCTTCGAAGAAAAAAACTACATTAAAAAAAGACAGAACATACTGCACAGCTATGACAATCATGTCTGTTCCAAGGGCCAAGTTCTTGAGAACTGTGTCATAAGAATCTGAAAATAAATGAAAAGGCTATTCTCAATAGCTGCTGGCAGCTGATATGCGCATCAAGAATTTAAATCATATTAACCAGTGGCAATAAAAGGCATGTGAAGTCAACACATGAAGTACAATGTTCCTACACCAAGTATTATGGAAAACAGGGACACCTTTTCCCGCCCACTAAAGATTTTCTTAAAAATCCGGTATGATCTTAACAACCCCTTTGACACTATAAGTTTGAGTTGGAAACCCAAAGAACTCCAAATTTAAATTCTACAAACAGCCCAATATACTTCTTCCATGCACCGTACTATGGATAAAATAAGGAAAAAGTGTAAGGACAAATACAGTTTTTATTCATCTCTCAGAGAGAAATTTGTCTTGGTTGCCTACAATGGCAGTGGTGTTATAAAGGTCAGGTGGACTCAGGCATACACACAAAAAGCAAGAACATTAGATACATACGTTTTACATGCTGAAACATCCTCACTCTGTAAAAATCCTCTCTCTTTCTCCTTCTATGTTTTATAGTGGTCAGTAACCTTACTGCAGTAGGTAGAAATGAATTTCTATATATCTGTTTGTTCTTGCTTTCATGGAGATAAGTCTTTTACAGCCGGTCGATAATTGTAACTCTAATGTCAGTTGGGGGAGGGGGGGGTAAGACCAATTAGCCTTTTGTCTGCCATTTTAGAATGTTTGTGTTGTACAGAGATTCAAAGATACTTAGGTCACTACAAATTAGCTCTTGATGCCTTTCTGATCAACGGAATCAACCTATTTATTTTCATGTGCTGTTTTTTCCTCCTTGTTGACATTGCAAGATGTACTAGAGGTAATCAAAGTTTCTATTGTTTAGGAGTAGAATAATTGGAGGGTGAATGGATTCATATTGAAGGACCTCAGATTCCTCATTAAATTTACCTTTCAAACAATATCAGTCCTGCCCGCCAATCAGCATATGTTTTAGTAATCAACAAATAAATCGTTAGTGATGAGGCTAAGAAATTTGTTATATGGCCATGGGCAGTCTTTTTCCTTGGGTTGTCCAGGAGAGAGGTTGTAGCTGAGTAATAATGTAACGTAAGCAAAGGCGTGATGAGGTCTTATTGCAAAGCTCACAATCATTGTTGAGTAAAAAAAAAAAAAGAAGGGGGGGGGGGGGGATAAAGTAACTGCTTATAAAAGCAAAGGAAACCTTTGAAACTATAGAATACGTCACAAGCCTTTGATCCTGACTGTGCACCACAACACACTATGCAATGCACCCAATGCAGCTACTTGTATAAAGTTTTCAAGAACAATCCATTTGAAAAAAAATTCTCTCAGTCACCTGGGCGTCACCCACAACACAAAAGGGAATGAATTTTCTAACGCCTTGTCAACTTAATGTTTGCCTTACCCCTAGATTATGCACTTCTAAGGTCTAATGCTTTTTTGTAAGGGCAAAGTGGCACTGAGAAACTACAAAGGCTCAATACAAAGAGGCTGTTGAAGTTAGACAGCTGCACGTGACAAAGTGACGCAGACAGCCCAGTTATGGTAGTTTTTCTCAAATTAAAAATCGGTGGCATTGCAGTTGTATTTTGGTAAAATTGAATGAAAATCGGATACATAATGTTGAGCAATCCGGCTTATTGTCAGTTTGTTAGTGTTTGAGAGCTTAATTGGCTGCTTGCACTGCATGCTTCCCGGGAAGCTGAGAATGTTTCTGAGTGTTCTATGGCCTGAGCTTGCTTTTTAGTGGGCACATGCGCTATACAAATGCTATTTATTATTATTATTATTGTTATTGTTCACTTGATTTTGTCAAGGCAATTTTGTCAATTGTGAGACCAAGACATTCATAAGAATCAGTAATTTTTATTGTTTCTTGTTCACTTGCAAGTGGTGGGACTGTTGGTTTTTCTCCTCTAAAATTAAAAATTATTTAATTTGTCTTTGAGGGTTTCACTTTTAGAAAATACACATATTTCTTTGAGATAATCTTTTTCATTGAGACTTATGTGTGTTGTTTCATACTTATAAATCAAATACAACACTGGTGACAAAACACTTCCTTGGGGACCACCAGTATTACAAAGGATAGCATCAAATTTTGTATTGTTCAGCTAACATACAGCGGTCTGCAGGTCAAAAATTCTAAGACACCAGCAATATATTATGACTGACACTCAGGCTCTGAAGTCTTTCAATGGAAATATGCTAAGAATCATATAAACCGTGCATATCAGAGCAAAAAGATCTCTAGACATGCATCTTTGAATTGTACATACATGCTTCTGTACGTTGGGCTTCTGCAGGCATGCGAACCAAATGTCATGCTCAGTAGGACTCTTGAAAGAATGAAGTAGTGTGTAGAGCCAGCAAACCTATGCTAAATGTGCTCCATCCTCCACCTACAAAGTACACAATACATGGCCTTGGGTCTTTTGAAGTGCTGTCAGGCGTGTACACTCTCACAGGCACACCTTCAAACACCAAATTCTTCACCTGCGGAGGGGTAAGGAGGACCCATTACTGTAACACAATGCTAGGTTAACAACCTCCATTTTCTGACTCAGAGTAGAGCTTTTCATGCCATCAGAATTTTAACTTCCATCTCCATAAGGCACATGACAGTGGTGACATCATTTTAAAAAAGAGAGCACTGTAACAGTTTTGTATTAAACCTAAAATCCTAAAATCCATTCTACGTTTTGCCATATTTGTTTAATTTTGAGAATAATCTCAGGCAGAAATTTTCATATTTGGAAAATCATTGCATTCTTTGAACAGTCAAAATTAACATTGTTGCGTTGAAAAAGTCAAAAAGAAGAAGATTATCCTTGAATGTTGCATTGATTCTTATGTCAATAATAAGAGCTTGATCCTTTATATTACGCTCAAAGAAATTTTTCATAATGTTAAAAGTTTAAAAACAGTGGAGCATGTAAGGCATACAAGGGAGAGAATATAAGAATAAAAGAGTTTCCTTTATCAATTAAAAAAAAAGCCCCAAGAAAACTACCTGTTTTCAGGTTTTCTAAAAACTAAAGCAACCCGAAACACTCACCAAAATTTGTAAAAAGTGTATTACCCAAATATTTAGAAGACTATTTGATCTTATAGAGGAGTAATTAGAGCCTCTTATCATTCATGTGGTTAGTTTTAGTTTTAATAGAGGTTTTACGGCGTTCGCAACTGCATAAGGTCATATGAGCACTAGAAGATTGGAGGTGTTACAAGAGAGTAACAAACATAAAAAATAAGAAGGGGAGATACGGACGATAGATGTTTGATTGGAAAGAAGGAGCAAACCACACTAGAGCACCCGCCAACCATCCACCAAATTCATGAGGTTAAACTTTCAGAATATACGCAAAAAGGGAGAATTAAGGTATAAACTGCATGAACAGTACACATCTGAAACGAAAAGGGAAACAAACACAAAAATACACTCATATATTAAGCATTGTAGGAGTCAACTGTTTTCCCTTCAATAAGAGACCGAAGTGCACTTACGAAACAAAAGTTCCACAGGACCTGTAGTTCCACAGGACCTGTACATACCAGAACATGGAATAGGTGAAAAAAGAGTCAATCTCTTAGCCCCTGGATTAACAAAAACAGCAGCAATCAAAGCAACTTTAAAACTGAACTTTCAAACACATATCACAACATTCACTGCAGCAATACTCACATCAAGACCAGGTCTCTCATTGACTTCTGGGATGAATAGAGACTCAGCCTGCCATCGAAGGTAATGGACTGCAGGTGTCCCAGTCACCATCTCCAAACCAACGGCCTGGAATTACATAAATCGCGAAATGGGAAAAGTTTGAGAGAAGATCTAGAGCGAGAAATAGAAGCTTAACTTAAAAAACAAAAGGACAGTAAATGTGTAAATATATATTGGAGAAACAGTAAATATAAAAATTTTAGCAAAGAAGAGACAAACTAAACAGGCCAAGAACACTTGCAGGGTCAAAGCAATGTCATTTAGAGGCAACCATAAGAAATGAGAAGCAATGCTGCCAACCCTGAAATTTACCCCCCCCCCCCCCCCCCCCCCTCCCCCGGCTAAGCTTTTAACAAAAACAAAAAAGCTTGAAACAGCATAGAGAACAAGCCATAGACAAAGCATGAAATCGAAGTGAAAGATATTTCAGTGCAAACAAACACTCTTTAATGTACCTTTAGAAACGCTTTTACAATCCTCAAAACCGCTAATATAAAAGCTTAGTTTGTTTTTTTAGAAATAAAATAAGTGATAAGTGAGAAATGAAGCCAAACAAAGAGTACAGGAACAATTTCATTTGCTAAAAAAATTCAACGTTACCAGTTCATTGTTTAAAACAGAGTAATAAATAGAAAAGATGTTAAACAATATAAAGCATACACAGGGAAAAGAAAAGATGACGTTTTACACAGTGCGTATTGAACTACCACTAGACCTAAGCCTACTCCCTCAATCATAGTCTACTGTCAGAGGAATATAACAACAGGATTGCGAGCAAGATTTCACGGCGCGTCAAAACTGCCTTCATAAAAGTTTAACAAAAATTCAAGCATCCATTGAACAGGTATTACCATCCAACCAGCCAGTCGGCATCCTGCGATGTAGGTCCTCTGAAGCCAGGGCTCATCAATGCCTGCAGGCACATTGCTGTACAGTGGGTACGATAACATCAAAAATAAGGCAGAGAACACGAGGAGGGTTTTACTCACGGCCATGGTCTCTGAAAAGAGAGTGAATGAAAACAAAGTATTCAGGTCTGGGGTTGATAAAAAGAAAATGATACTGAGGAACTAAACTTTAATATGTTACAGCAAAATTGTAGAAAAACAAGCCATTATTGTAACTTTAAACACCTCTTTGGCATGCGCCGGCAGTTCTCAGAGCATGTGTGCACTTTTCTCTTAATATTAGTTTAAGAAATTGTTATTTGTATAGCTTTCCTGTCCTGTTCAACTATCATGTAAATTTAAGGTCATATCTAAGAGGTGAGTGGAACTTTTAAATTTGATATCCTTCTCAGATAGGATTTGAGCCAAATTGGCAGAAAGTCTTAAAAACTTTCCAGAACAATCCAAGTTCAGAACGACACTCCTTTGAGGATATAAACCAAGGCAATCAACTTCATGGTCTAGCAAGATGCCAACTGACCCACTGGTGCATCCATAGGTAATGTGTGGACAAAGACCAACTAAGAGAAACAACAGGAAAGAGGAGTTGCACCTATATTTCTTATTTGGGATATTACCTGCTTGTGAGGAAATGGCCAGTGGTGATCTTTTAACTACAGTCGAACCTGCCTTGACGGCTATCCCTATAAGACGGCCACCTGCA